TCCTCCCCTAGATCTCGTCCCTGTCTCAGCATGACCTCGTCCTCTCCCAGTTCGGCTGGCCTTTCACCAATCGGAGCCACCTTCTCTGAGGTCTCCACTCCAAGCTCCTCCCCCGCCACACCCACTTTCCACTCTCGCCCCTTTGCGTCCATGGCCATCACGGAACTGGTCATTTCTGAGTCGCAATATGTTGGCACAATTAAGGTACGTATCATCCTCATTTCTTTGCATCCAGAATGCTACAAGAGCTGAGTGATCTCACACGCTTCCTTAACGTACGTCTTTTCAGCGTGTGGCAAATGCTTTGTGTAAGGCTGCAGAGCATGCTGTCGCCGCTGGCCGAAAGGACAGTGTGACTCTTCGAACTTTGACTGACCGCTGGACCGACATCTTGCGCATGCATGTCAAATTCCACGATGTAAGTACTACGTCTACTACGTCTACTATGCTTATTTGTTTTTTTGTTATGTTCGCCACCAGGGGTCAAAGAATACTTGTTTTGCGCAGGGAACCATCTTCTACTCGTTGCTCTTTTTTTTTTTTTTTTTTTTTTTTTTTTTTTTTGAGCACCTCATTGCCAGAAAACAATGGAAGCTGTTTACATGTTTTTGCTTCGCATTGTCCCAGAAGAAAAGACACACAAAACAAAAGAGCTTTGTGCTTTGAGTGTGAGCTCCAGACCGGAACCCGGTTCCTTTGAAGAGCTAAATAACAAAACAACAAAAAACAAAAAACAATTCAAAGTATGGTGGGGTGTCCATGTACGGTGCTGTATGGTGCTCATTTCTTCATGGCCTCCCCCTTGCATTTGTCTCCAAGCTGGAGCTATCACATACAGTGAATGAGCGACTCCTTAAATTTTTTTCTTTTTTTTCTTTCCTTTCCTTTCCTTTCCTTTCCTTTTCATGTGTGCTGCTTCATACTGCCATCCTACGATGCCCAATGCTTTCTTTGGAATCATTCGTCATTTGGTGTCTTTTTTTTTTTTTTTTTTTTTTTTTTTTTTTTTTTTGGTTTGTTTAAACCAGGACCAATGACCCCAACGGATTTCATGTCAAGTCGAACGGATGGCACAGGAATATGTGATGCACGCACACACTCCCTTCCAATAATTGCTGTATGAATGCAACTAACATTCTCCCTTTTTCTATCTACTTTTTTATACTTGACACATGACTACATAGGATGTGGTCGCAGTCAACGAGGACCTCCGTGAGACTGCCGGTCTAATCAACAGTCTGGTATGTGAACGTTTCCTTCTGTGATTTTTGTTGTGATAGTTCTCTTTGGCGCCATGGCTCCATGTTGGTGGTGCGCGGAAAGTACAAGCCCGTCTCACGTTCGTGTCCATTTACCTTTCGCAAACCGATGATCTGACTCCCTTGCGGCTTTATTAACTCGCTGCATAGTTGGTGACCCTTGAGCCTATCTTGATCGACCATGGCAGAGACCTCTCCGGTGCGCTCAAGAAATTGATCCGTCGCGATCAGGTAAAAAAAAAAAAAAAAAAAAAAAAACAATACTCACCTCGCACTTGCAAGATACTTCCATGAGCAAAGAAAACAACAACCTTTCATTTCTCCTTTGTTCGGTGTGCCTGCTTGCTTACATTTCATTTCGCTCTTGGACTTGTTCCTCGTAAATAGAACTCGGAGCACACGTTTGCCGAGTGGGAATCGGCACTCCGCCAGCCATTCGAGCACTTGGCAATGTATGATGAGTGGCTCCAGGTAAGATATTCCTACATGTCATGCATGGCTCCGTCTTCTTATTGCGTTTTCTTTCTGCCGATTCAGAAATCATACGAGCAAAGTTTGGCGTAAACCAAAATGAATACAAAACTAACCCTCATTTCCATCCTCCGTCTGTCTTTTTTCGTCTTTGCTTTCCCGCCTTTTTGCCTTTTGCTCCCTTGCTTGTCCCTGTACTAGCGTATCGATCCTCAATCCAAGTTCTCAAAAGAGTATCGCTCCCACATCAGCGGATTGACCTACAAGATCAAGATGGTTACCGAAGCCAATCAGCATCCCCGTAATATGCTGAGGAGACTGAGCACGATCGCCAAAGGCGTCATCAAGCGCCGGTCCTCGGTCCAGATCCTCTCGCTGCCTGCGCCCGAGACCCCCACCACCCCCACGACTCCAAACTCGTACGCCACGACCGAAACCTTCACGGCAACGGCGATGAGCCCCAAGGAGATGCAATCGGCAATCACAGTGTCGCCGTTGTCTTCTACCTCGCCCTGCCTGCCACCGCTGCCTCAGACTGTCGAGAATCTGGTGATCGCCGAAGAGACCTTTTCTCAGATCGAGTCTTTCACGACGGGTCAGCAGCAGGCAGAGGTCTGTCCTTTTGATGAACCCTCACACAAGGAGGCAAAAGAAATACTGAACGAAGATACATCCTCCGTTCTGGAGAAGCAGTTGCCCCCAACCCCATCTGGCACGCTTCCAGCGAACAAGGAGCTAAAGCACCGCTCCTCTGCAGTCTCAGAGCTGAGCAGTACTGGCTCTCTAACCATGACCTCTTCCTCCTCGGCCTCGATCCACTCCACAGCCGACACTTTGTTGGTCCGCCACACGTCCCTGGCTCGTCAACAGTTCCTCAAGGAGCGTGATGCCCGCAAGGCCACTCTGCGCGTAGGCACCCACGAGCTGATCCAGGCCAAGGCCGAGAGTCTGCAATCTCCCACATTCAGGCCGCGCCTCTCGGTTGAAACCATGCGTGTGCTCGTGCACCCTCGCGATTCGGAGAAGAAGCCACCGGTCAAGTCGTTGATCAGCTTCTGGGAGCAGGTCTCGGACCCTCTCGAGGCTTAAAGCGACGCTTAGACTCTTGCTGCTGCTGTTTTTTTCTGTTTTTGTATTGCTTTACTATACCCTCCTTCTCCTTCCGCCTTTCTCAAGGCTTTCAATAATAATTACGATCCCCACCTCCTAATTCCCTAATACCCCTACTTCACAAACGTCACTCGTCCCCAGGCTAGGTTCCTCATTTCGCTTAGATACTATCGACTTTTGACAAATATAATCCCTTCGCCCCCCTTTTGTGTGTTCTATCGCGTTGTGTGTTTATTAAGTACTAACTAAATATCATCTTTTTTTGGGGAGGTCCTCGATTACAAAGATTTCTTCTCGACCTCGTCCAGAGGAGTGCCAGTAGGCAGGGGGATCAGACGGGAAGTGGTCTTTTTGTAAAGCTTGTAGGCAGGGTATTTTTGCGAGGCCATGTGCTCTGTCAAAGTCGTCGAGATCTGGAAAAGCAGTGTTAACGCCACAACGCCAACAATCGAAGGGTTGATCCATGCAACATGCGTAGGGTATGCAGCAGCGACCGAGAACAGGTAGACGGACCTAATTATTTTCAAACAAACAAAACAAAGGAACACAGAAATTTTAAAACCATTGACCGTAATCGCCTTCCGTATGTGATAATTTGCATGCGAATAGCACCAGGTCTTGATTTTTACCACCAGATCGTCATCTCTCCGAAAAAGTTGGGGTGGCGTGAGTACTTGAACAGTCCCTGGGTCAGGAATCCACGCTTGTTGTCGCCAGTCAGAGTCTCCTTGTCGGCGATCGCCTTCTTCTTGCCCTCCTGGAATACCCACTGCTGCTCATCTGCCATAGTCTCGAGCGCCAATCCGGCCACGAAGCCCACCACCGCTAACAGGTCAATCCAGTTCAGAGGTGTCACGGTCGCCAGGGTCGCTCTCCAGGCAGTGTACACGGGTGCTGTCATCGCGACCAAAAGCAGGTTTTGGAACAGGCAGATGAAGAAGATGTTGAAGAGGAGCCACAGTCCTGTAGGGATTCGCTCGGCCAGGTAGGGCCAGCGGTAGTCCTCGCTGTCAAAGCCGTATCCGCCCTTGCGCGCAAAGTTGTAGGTCAAACGGACGCCCCAGATAAGGATCAAGGCGGTGGCGATGTAGACGCGGGGCACGTAGACGAAGGGAGTGTCCTTGGGCCAGTAGAGCATGTCGCGGATGGAAAAGTGGATGGCGTACAGGACAGGCAAAATGGACCAGAGTTTGTCGACCTAAACGTAAGCATATTGATGGGTAAGTATGGAGAAAAATAGACGCTTGCCTACGGTCAACGACAACGCAGGGTCTTTCTCATTAGTAAAGTACCCATGAGTGGTTTCCAGTGGCCATGCTCTGGAACCAGCAGGCGAATGCGAATCCGAGACCAGCACGAATGGCAGAGATGAGGGGGTCGGAGGAGGCATGGAAGACGACGAGGTCGTAAATAATAGTGGAATTGTCAGAGTTGGGAAGTGTCAGATTCTCCCAGAAGATGGTGAGCAGGTCACCAAAGGACTCCCATGACATGAGCCGGGCCAGCTTGTCTACAGCGTCGGCCATTTATGAACAGAGGGTACGGATGGAAAGGAGGGGAGGAAGTGGCGTGGAGAGGAGAGGAGAGGGGAAGGTGGAGCGGATGGAGAGAAGAGAAAAGAAGTGTTTTTCTGACTAGCAGCTCTGGAAAGCAATTCCGTGGCATCAAATAGGGTTCAACCAATGACGAGGGACCAAAAGTTGGACAGCGCAGACAGACTGAGCACGCGCATCCAAGAGCAGTGGCGTGTTGGTGGGAAAAAAGAGCAGACGATCGAAGGCTCGCCTTCCTGAATCTCAGTCATAATGCAGAGGATGTGGAGGTGGACGGCTTCCCTGCGCTCGAGGCTTGTAACAGTGGAGATGCAGCGACCATCGATGGTTTGATTGGCAATAAAAAATGAGAAAGAGTCGATCTCCTCCTTCGTTGACAACTTCACAATCGTCCTCATCGAAAACAAAGAACAGCACTTGATGCACAGTGACGAATACATGAACAATGCACTGGACACCGAAACTGGGTTTATTCGTTCGCGTGCATTCATTCACTTTGGATAATTGGAGAATGACCATCAGCAAATGGTTGAGGAGACAAATACAAGTGGTAGGGGGAGCGCTGGGTATAAGAACCTTGGGAAATTGACCTGCTTTGTGCAAGCCGGTTCAGATGTCTTAGCTGTTAGAGCGTCTGCTTAGCATGCATACCCTCTCAGGTTCAAATCTCGATCTGAGCCCAAAGTTCTCGCCAAGTGAATTTCAAAACTCGAAATTCCGAGTTCACAAGAAGAATATCTTGTGAACTCTCGCTAGAAATGGCAGGACAAACCTAGTCTGACTAAAGATGGCAGAGGCCCCAATGTGTAAGTGAGCTACGTCATCGTCACAATGGAGTTCGTGGAGCTGTTCCACGCACCTCTCATAGCAGCAAAACGGCAGGAAACACCAGTGTCCTTCACAGGATTGGGTCATATCACCGAGTTCCTACTTTGATTTTTTTTTGTATTCTGCACAACCTTCCTGAATATCGCGTAAGGGTGATATTAGTGCGGTCTGATCAGCAAGCTCCAACGCAACGACCATTTCTCCGTTGGTGGCCATAAATTTCTTTTGGTGGCGTTGTTTGAAAGAAGACTCAAAATTAAAGCCCCAACGTCATACTCGACCCGATTTTGATCGGCATCACTCAAATCACGCCCATCGAAAACAACTACATGGACGCTGGCTAGGACAGTGATTATGCATTAGCAACCAGAGTCTGATTCGAAGGTTTGCATCCATTCTCCAGCGTTGCATTTACCCAAGGTCCATCCCCGCACAATGTTCATGGTCAATTTTAGTGGCAAACGCAGCACAAAAGTCGAGCGATCTCAAAGGAAATGGGGCAAACCGTCGCTGTTCGAAGCAGAAATGCAGCGCCTCGATTAGAAAAAAAAAAGAAACGGAAGGAAAAAAGGCTAAAGATGCTAGAGGGTTCACTGGGGTTACCCAGCGCCCTAGTTAGCTGGTTGGTTGGTTCGATTGGTACTTTGGTAAAAAGATCAGATCATTGTTAACCTCCGACAAAACAATCGGCATCGCCTACATCGCGGGAGCCAAAATCAAGAGTAGCCGCTAATCAAGAGGCACAAGGCGATGGAGAACACCTCAAAAGAGTTCACTCGTTTATAGCTTGGAGCACCGTTTGCCAAACCTCTTCTGCGCCAGTGATCCTTAAAGAGTAGTCAAAACTTTTCCACCATGTCATCACCACTATATCTACATAGAAAGTGAAGAAACCTGTCTTGCAGCCAAAGCATCAAATTCGCCATTACCAAAACACCCGAAAGGCCACAACCCATCAAGCACGAATAAAGTAGACTTTTCTCTGCAAGCAGAATAGTTGTATAAATGGCCGCAGACGATTTGCCCACAAAAGAAACACAAAATACTCTTTCCTTTCCACTACTTATGCACCTTTGCTCAATTTCTCATTGGTCATAAAAACTAGTCCTCTTCAGTATCAATGCCATTGCCATCTCGTTTTCATTTCTTCGGTACATCCAAACATCGGGCACCCAAGCTTCTGCCCTTCGACCGTTTCGAACGCGGAATAGCAACCACATCAGTCCGCTACCATCTTCACCGTTGCCTTCAACATGGCGTATCTGACGCCACCTCGAAAATAGGCTGCTACCTACGCCCTGACGGCTCACCAGTCGTGTTTGACATTCCCCAATCATACCCGTCATTCATCTTTGAAGCCGAGTTTTTCGCGGCCGAAAGAGCCATTACGGATCTTGCTCAACCAGACGCTTATTTTCATCTTTTTTGCGACAGCACGAGTGTTTGCCACGCCCTGAAGACGCGAACTTGCAGGAACCTCTTCATCGATAATCGCCTTCGACAACTTCTCCGCTGGTGTGATGAACGTAACGTGCATGTTGAACCATGGTGGATTCCTAGTGGCATCAACCCTGCTGACGGACCAACCCGAGGGGAGCCCCCTGGACCCTGGTTTAGCTGCAGACGCGACAACTATTCTTCTCGTGACCATAGTGAACTATTGTGTTTTTTTCCCTCTCGTTCTCTAGTTGTGGAAATATAAATATTTCACTAAGCAGCCCTTAATTGAGGTGGGTCCATGGTCCTTTTTCAAAGTTGCCACCATTCACCTCTTTTTTTTTTTTTTTTCTGCTTTCCACATTTCTCCCATCACACCGAACTCTCCCACTCAAATTCCCCGTTGCCTCTGGTTCAAGGTCTAAATCAACCATGTCGTCTACTCGAGCAACTTACCCCGCCAACAACCGCCAGATTCCTGAGCATCTGCGCGTCGATGGAACCAGCACCGTCTACTGCTACGGATGCAACCAGAACAAGCCTCGCGTTGCATTCAGCGAGTCACAGCTGAAAAAGGCTTCCACCCGCAACCCAACCAAAGCTCACCACATTTTGTGCAAGAACTGTAGGTGTTACGAAATGGGAATATGTCATGTCATGTCTTGTCCTGTCCTTTTTGCGGCTCATTATGATGCGAACGCGACATTCGTGCGCGTGCCTGGAGGCACAAAAAGGCGCATGGAGTAACACATTTCATGTATTTCATTGAAAATAGGCACCCCAACCCAGAACACGTCGTTGAAGTGTGTCCGTTGCAACAAAGCAAAGCCCACGGAGGCCTACTCCAAGGTCAGTTAATATCTGTGATTATCTTTATCTTAAACTCAAAGTCTTTTTTTTTTTTTTATGGAACAGAACCTTGCACACCATGCCCTGGACACCCACAACTCACTTCCACGAAATATCTTATGTTGGAAACAGACTCAGCGGAAGCTTCAGGAGCGTGCAACCTGCATCGAGTGCCGCAAATACATCGACAATGACGATTCGGAGGACGACTTTGATATCGAAGAGGACCCCGACTACTACCACGGCAACATCCAAGATGTTCTGTGAACGACAAACAGGACAGGGGCGGCCGATGTTGTCCTAGGCGATACCGTGCCTACATATCTGTTTTTATGGCACCAGGTATTTGTTTTCTGTCGCTAGACTTCGGGAAACGTCACCATCTTTGCTTTTTTTTCAAACCTCTCCTTTGCTCCAAAAAAATCGAGGTCTCCTTCTCCCACAAACAAACCCTCTCGCTTTTTCCATATCCATTTGGTTTCATCGCTTGTACACTAAACAACATATTGCAATCAGCAGCGCGTCTTCTCACCTTTGTTGAACCAAAAAAAAAAAAAAGAAAAGGACATGTTGCTTTCACGCAAGCGAGCAGAGCAGAGTGGGTGAGACAGGTGTTCAAAAGCCATTGATTGTTTTTATCATGTGACAAATTCTTGCGCTGAGCCACTCCGCCCTCTTTTTGACTTTTCTGTCTCTGTCGCCGTTCTTTTTTTTTTTTTTGTTCTGTCTGATTCGACCAGCCCCCCACATCGAAACGACCTTTCCGAAGTCTCTTTCAGCTTTTGCATTTCCACATCAGCCATGGCCTCTAACAGCATCAAGATTTTCGCCGGCAACTCCCATGTCGAGTTGGCCAAGCTGGTTGCTCGGTAAGGAGAGATTTGTGACTCTTTTGAATTCGGAAATGCACACACATTGGGCGTGTTATTTTTGGGTCTTGAAAGATGGAGAAACTTTGAGCTTCATGCAAAAAAGTGAGTCATCCGCAAAACGCTGGTCTGATCAGCCTCTACCACTGAACAAATGCTACTCTTGATGGACCACGCACTACCCTGTGGAACTGGTACAACGGTTACAGGGAATCTTGAGGGGTTTTTTTTTGATTCTTCATTCCCAACGCTCCTTGCCATGCAGTCAGACCCAAGGAGCAGGGCAGCTCTTTCGACATACACACAACCGTTTTTAATCTCGCAAGATATGCATGGCGATGCAACGTTTTCTTTTTTGAGAGATGTGTGCGTTCTGTCCTCGGTTGTGGATGCGTCCTGTTTTGCCTCTGATGTTGGTGTTGGCGTCGAGTTGAGTTGCTCTTCCTCATCGGGGTGTTCCGATGCTCCTCCGCTTTCCTTTTTCTTGCGTCTGTCCACCTCGGGGTTTAAGATTGCTCAAGGACCAAAAAAGAGAAAGGAAAAACAACAAAGGGATCCATCCAACTCAATTTTACTTACACGGATACACTCTTCGTCATCACCATTAGCCGTCTCGGAACCGAGCTCTCCAAGGTCGTTGTCCTCAAGTACTCCAACCAGGAGACCTCGGTCACCATCGGAGAGTCTGTCCGTGACGAGGATGTCTTCATTATCCAGTCCGGATGCGGCGAGATCAACGACAACCTCATGGAGCTCTTGATCATGATCAATGCCTGCAAGACTGCCTCGGCCCGCCGCATCACTGCCATCATTCCTTGCTTCCCCTATGCTCGCCAGGACAAGAAGGACAAGTCGCGCGCCCCCATCACTGCCAAGCTGATCGCCAACATGCTCACCGTTGCTGGTGCCAACCACGTTATTACCATGGATCTCCACGCCTCCCAGATCCAAGGATTCTTCAACGTCCCTGTCGACAACTTGTATGCTGAGCCTAGCACTCTCAAGTACATTGCCGAGCAGATCCCCGACTACAAGAACGGTGTCATTGTCTCGCCCGATGCTGGTGGAGCTAAGCGGTATGTTCACATCAACAAATTTTCGCATGAGTCGACTGACACAACGCTTTCTGTTCACGGAAAGAGCATGTTTCCAATCATACGTCATGGCCTTGACCACGTTTTTGATTTCATGTTTTACTAACAATCCCTATGTTTTCCTTGTCGGTACGTACCATAGTGCTACTTCGATTGCTGATCGCCTGGACCTGGACTTTGCTTTGATCCACAAGGAGCGCAAGAAGGCTAACGAGGTCTCACGCATGGTGCTGGTTGGAGATGTCAAGGGAAAGATTGCCATTTTGGTCGATGACATGGCCGATACTTGTGGAACTCTTGGATTGGCAGCCAAGACCTTGGCCGAGAACGGTGCTTTGAAGGTGTACGCCATTGTCACACACGGTATCCTGTGCGGCAAGGCCGTCCAGGTTATCAACGACAGTGTTTTGACCAAGGTCGTTGTCACCAACACTGTCCCCCACGACGACAAGAAGAAGATCTGCCCCAAGCTGGACACCATTGATATCTCTGGAACCCTTGCTGAGGCCATCCGCCGTACACACAACGGCGAGTCTGTCAGTTTCTTGTTCTCGCATGCCGTGTAAATTTCTGTCTCTAGTTTTCTGTTAGTTTTTTCTTTAT